AGCACAAGTTTAAAATGGGTCAAAAGGGGGGGGGGGCAGTGAGAGGCAAAAATAAATAAATAGATAGATAGATAAATGGGTCAAAAGCAAGATCAAATGATAAGGTGTTAAATTTGAACCTACCTGCTTTTCGATGCCCTGTGCATGATGGAAAGGCTATTCACATCCCTGGTCTATGGTCAGAGGGGATCCACTGGAGGCTTGACCCACATGGTATTCAAATTCCCTTTACATTGACTTGCTTTTCTTGCTCATGTTTTGGTCTCTCTCACTAACTTATTTTGGACTTCAGACCTAGACAAAAAATAGACAGGAGGTTGTACGAGCTCTCAATAAAATGATTTTTTTATAGAGAGGAGTAAAATGGATCCCTTCTGCTCGATTTTCACAATTATCCACTCATGTTCAATGTTGTTTATCTGTATTTCTTTGCATCTCCAATCATGTCAGGCTGTCATTCTGGTATCCACCAGTGGTGATCATTGTCTAGATGCATTATTTCATTCAGAGTGGCCAAGTGATGCTCTTTTAATCCTCTCATTCCCACTTCAGTTACCAGCTGGGTTGCTCCTCAAAAGATACCCTTACCCTTATTCACTATTTAGGATCTTTTGTCTAGAGCAGGCAGGGTACATGAGGGACTCATTCCTCATTAGTTTAAACATTTCTCCTCTTTAAAAAAATTGTATGTTCATAACTAAAAGTGAAGTTTAGTTTACAAGGTTTCTCATGAAAAACCAGCACTTTCATTGCCTCTTACTCTACCTTTATTTCCTGTCCATCAGTGGCTGCTACTTCTAATATTTTCTTCTGTATTTATGAGTAAAGTTATTACGCTGCTCTCTTAAGTCCCTTCCTTCCTCCTACTATTTATTTCTACTATGGAAAGTATCTCTGTTTGCTGCTTTCTGTTCCTAATTTTTACTTCTTTTCCCTAAAGGGGAGGCATGATTTTAGTGTCTACTCCGTGGTCCTTTGCTCCTTTTGTGTCCCCACTAACCCACAGTGCCTTGCTGCTGTGGACACCCAGTTTAGCTTTCTTTGCACCCAGTGTTGGCTGGGAGATTTCCCCCATCGCTGACTGTTCCCTCTTCAAACTCAATATGAGTACAGAGTGATGGTTGTAGAAGCTCTAAGGTGGGAAAGCCCAGCAGCTCTGTACAGTCTATGTGGCTTGATCAGGAAGTAGGGCGGATTCAGAGCAGTGGAGAGTCGTGAGGGTATGCAGTTGATAGCCCCTTGTGGGAACAGTGCAGAACTGACCTGACAGCATAGGCTCTCTCTTGGGGCGGGGGAGTATATGTTGGGGAGCTGAAGGGGCAACTGAGCTGAGTGCCATTAAATTGTGGAGGGTCTTGCACAAGCCCACAGAATTGGGGCTCTATCTCATGAGGGATGGGGGAGCATCCTAAGAGCATACGAGGAACACTGGGGATGACGATAGGCGTCTGATCCCACTGTAGTGGCCTCCCTTTTGTGGAGGTTAACTAGAAGTTTGGTGTCCGTCCCCACACCATGCAGACCTCTTCCTTGTCGTGAGCATGTGAACACTGGGGACAAGAGGGTGGTCTCTCTCTTTATCCTATTAATGTTCCTTTAGACTAAAATTAACCCCATAGATGTTCCATCTTCTGAACCCAGCTGGGGGAAACAGGGCAATTGTTCATGGTCTCTTCTGGGTCCATCCCGAAGGAAGTCAGGGCGCCCCTGCTCAGAAAATTCCCAGGATCACACCACGACAAGGCCTTGGGGTGTGGAGTTTCGTGGACTCCAGCTTAAATGTCTAAGCTTTAGAAAATCCTAATGAGACAAGCCCCTCACCAACAGGCCCCTCTGACTTGTTCCCTCTCCCACAGCTCCTGCCTGAAGAGTCACTGCATCTCTTTGCTCAAGAATGTCGTAAACAAGCCACACAGGGCTTTGAGCTGCACATGCCAAGGGGTCGGCACTGGTGCCTTCATCTCTGTCCTGGTAACTTCTGCCACCATCCCCTTCCAGGGACCCAAGGGGGTAATAGTGGCCCATCCCTTCCAAATGCTGGCTTTACCCCCACCTGCAGCAGGCCCCCTCCTACCACGGTCCTTTCTCTCCTCTCACTTCAGAGCTGCCTAACGTTCCGAGTGACTATGCTGGGCTGGTGGTCCGCACCGTCTTGCAGCCTGTGTTGCAAGGACTACAGGGATTGCCGCCCACGGCCCAGGTCCCTGCCCTCAGCCAGGTGCTGACAGCCATCCTGGGTGCCTGGCTAGACCACATCCTCAGCCACAGGATCCGCTTCAGGTGGGGAGACCAGGAGACGGTGGCACGGGGCAGATATGGAGAAAGGGTGGGAGGTGATGCCGGACAGGGCCATTTGAAGAGACAGGAGGGTCCGGGGATGACGTTGTACCTTGGGCTTCAGCCTGCAGGGGGCGCTGCAGCTCCGACAGGACTTTGGAGTGGTCCGGGAGGTGCTAGAAGAGGAGCGGTGGGGCCTGGCCCCTGACCTCCGCCAGACTCTACTCATGCTCAGCATCTTCCAGCAGCTGGATGGGGCCCTGCTATGCTTATTGGAGCAGCCCTTGCCCCGGACACGAGTCCACAGGAGGCCTCTCTGTTGCTGTGAGTCACCCCTACCCCCAACCCTAGGCTCTTGGCCTTTTACTGTCTACTTGACCCTTCCCAGTCCACCTTCACCCTTAGCCTCTCTTCGGCATCTCCTCACAAACCTTCTACTTCCCACTTGGGCCTCGCCAGGTGCTTGCGATGAGGAGACCATGGACTTGCCCAGCAGGAGCCTCAACAATCTGGAGAGCTTGGAGCCCCCGCTTCAGCCTGGAGCAGCCCCGGCCCAGACAACTCAATTGTTAAGCACACTGCTACGGGGAGGGGGACCTAGCCCTGAGGCTTACCTGGTGGGAAATCAGCAGGCCTGGCTTGCCCTGAGACAGCACCAGCACCAGCACCAGTACCCCCGTTGGCACCTGCCCTTTCTTTCCTGCCTGGAGGCCAGTCCTGAACCGTAAGGAGCCCGGGCCCAGGGCTAAGAATTCAGAGTTCCCCATCTCTAGCAGAAGCTGCTGAGACCCTTGGAATTGCAAGTTAAAGAGGCCTGGAACAGGGAGCTCAAGGAAGCCTACCTGCAAAGCACAAGGCACACAGAGCCTAGGGTCACAAGGAAGGTTCAAGATCACTGCAGAGCTTGGAATCCAAAGTCAAGGGCAAGACCACAGCCCGGAATCTGGGAGGTCAACATCCTTGAGAGACTCAGGGCTGGAAGCTGGGAAGGGTGGGGAGAGGGTTGGTACCCAGAGCACAGGGAAAGGGAACATTTCAACAGGAAGCAGAGTTTAGACACCACTTCCAGGCACTGGTCTGAGAGGAATGTTATTCATCCTGATGCACAGAGGTGAAAGGGCATTTCTGCACCTGGATCAGGACCCCAGGAGCTATTGTTATCTTGTATTCCTCTGCCCAGTAGTATATCAGTCAACTACGCTAAGCGTGCAACTTGCTTCATCTTCAGTGACTTCCATGAGGGTTACCTCCTGGTAGGTGTGTAAACCCTGCCGTAGTAGTGTTCCCTCTCCGCGGAGAGGACCGGGATCCAAGACGGTGTTAGCCTAGATCTGACACGGAAGGGAAAAGGCTACGTGAGATCGACCTGTTTCTGAGCCGATGCAAAAGGGCTTTGCATTATTATTTTTTTTAATTGTTTTCACCGTGACTGCTGCAGGACTATTGGTGATCGGCAGTATTTGCTGATCGGTAGTTTTGGGGCTCTAGCTGTGTGATCCCAGCAGGTGCCTGCCTCCAGATCAGGCGATGGAATCACCGCCCTACTCCCTTCCTCTTGGGTAGAGGAATCCGGGCCGGCGGCCGAGTCCCGTTCCCCAGCCGAGCCGCGCGGGGCGCTTGAGTCCCGGCGTTCGGCGTTTCTTGCCGGGGACCGGACTTCCGCCCGCGGGAGTCCCTTCCGGGGCGGAGGTCACAATGGCGGCGGCCTTGGCTCGGCTCGGGCTCCGGCCGGTCAAGCAAGTTCGTGTTCAGTTCTGCCCTTTCGAGAAGCACGTGGAGTCGACGAGGTACTCGGGGAGGGCGCGAGGGCGGGGGGGGGAGCCTCGCCTCTCCGGCGGCGGCGGCTCGGAGCCCTGGGCCCGGCGCTCAGGCGGCTGGGGTCCCCCGCCCCCCCCTGCTTCCAGGACCTTCCTGCAGGCGGTCAGCAGCGAGAAGGTGCGCTCCACCAACCTCAACTGCTCGCTGATTGCGGACGTGCGGCACGACGGCTCCGAGCCCTGCGTGGACGTGCTGTTCGGTGGGCCGGAGGCGCGGGCGGGGGG